AGACCACTGAGCCATCTCACCAGCCTGAGAGAGAGAGAGACACTTGATGGTCATTCTGTACTTTGTTTGGCAGGGGCGTCTCTGATTTTCTTCCTCTGCTGTGTGTGTGTGGGTTTTCTGGTAGCAGCCTCTGTGGCCAATCTTTTAGCTAGGTGTCACTAACTCCCCACTTCTTCTGTCTTGCGTTCTGCACTTTCTATAGCTGGGATCTGGAATGTCCTCAAAGGGCCATGTGTTAAAGTAGCTCCAACTTATTACTACTGGGGCCTAGGGAGAGGTCTTTAGGTCATTGGGGGCATGTCACTGAAGGGTATAATCGGTCCTTGCCTCTTGTTCACCCTTTCTTTTCTGCTTCCAATTGAAAAGTTTTTGCACATCAAAAGAAATCACTGACAGTGAAAAGAGAACCCATGAATTGGAAAAAAAATTTAGTAAACTGCTCTTCAGGCAAAGGACTTCTATCTAGAATATACAAACAATTTTTAAACATCAGGGTCCCAAATTCAAAGCACCAATCAAAAAGTGGGCATCTGAGATGAATACATACTTCTCGGATGAAGAAATACAAATGGTAAATAAATATATGCAAATATGTTCAACAGCATTGGTCATTCAAGAAATACAGATTAAGACAACACTGAGATTCCATCTCACCCCAGAAAGAATGGCCAACATCAAGAAATCAACCAATAACAAGTGCTGGAGAGGCTGTGGAGAAAAAGGAACCCTTCTGCACTGTTGGGGGGAGTGCAGACTGGTACAGCCACTATGGAAGCAGTGTGGAAATTCCTTAAAATCTAGGATTCAAGGTCCCATTCAACTCAGCTATTCCCCTCTTGGGTATTTTTCCAGAAGAACTGAAAAATTCATACCACAATGATATATGTATGCCCATATCTATAGAAGTACAATTTGTCAGAGATAAATCTTGGAAACAAGCCACATGCCCATCAACTGAGGAATAGAGGAAAAAAAGATGTGTTATTTTTGTGCAATGGAGTACTACTCGGCTATAGAGAAAGATAAACTTGAGGCTTTTATAGGTAAATGAATGCAGCTAGAGACCTTACTCATAAGTGAAATAAATCAGACTCGTGTGTGTAAACGTTATAAGAAATTGAAAGAGTAAATAAGATCCAAGAGGTACAACACATATGGTAAAAAGGAAAGAAACCACTCAAAAGGAAAAAACAACTGGCAGGAAGAAAAAGAAAAAAGAAGAATGGAGAAAAAATATGTATAATATACAATAGCTCCAATAAAAGTACTACTAATTTCTATTAGTTCATTGAAAGGAACAGTTAGTATTTATATTGTTTGACCAATTTTGCATGCCTGTACCTGGTAATCTGACCAACTACTTTGAAGATAACATTATGCAATATACCAACCATTGTTGGTAGGTTTTTAAAATTTATTTATTTTTTTTTTGCAGAACCAGGAATTGAACTCAGGGCCTTGTGCTTGCCAGGCAAGCACTTGTTAACTACTGAGCCACCTCTCTGGCCCCTAGAAATCATTGTTAATGTCTTATCATCTTGTTTTGAAATTCTGTATCATTTTTATTGGGTTTTGCCTCTTTAAAGTAAAAAAAAAATTTAAGAAGAAATTTTGCATCCATTAATAGTCATTTCCCACTTTCCCTTGCTATCCCCAGCTCCTGCCAACTAGCAATCTTTTTGTCTCTGTATATTTGCTTATTCTCCATATTCTACATGCATGGAATCATATCTATGTGCTCTTTTGTGTCTGGTTGCTTTTGCTTAGCATGTTTTCAAGATTTATCGATAGTGTAGCATGAGTTAGTATTCATTCTTTCTGACTTTATAATATTCTACTGTACAGATACATATACAATCCTCATGGAACTTTTGTAAATATGGACTTGTTTCTTAAAATATTTAAGTTGAAAAGTAAAGTAAATGTTCCCTATATGGGTAACATACAATGTGTTTTGATATTTACACACATTGTTGTATGCCTAAATCAAGCTATTCAACATGAGCATTGCCACACAGGCTTGGGGTGTGTGTGTGTAAAGAACATTAAAGAAACTATACTTGCAATGTTGTTATGAAGCAGAGCCGACATGGTGCGTGACTCATTTGCTGTAGTCATTCTGCCTCTCTGATTTTTTTTTTTATTGCTGCAGTTATTTAACTTTATTGTATTTTAAAACATCAAAATTGTAAAATACAGCATTTGTATAAACACCTGAGGACTGTTCAAATGGGCACAGTATCTTCTTACAAGCAATTTGAAAGAAGACCAAGGGGCTGGGGAGATGGCTCAGTGGAATAAGTGCTTCCCTGGCAAGCACCAGGGCCTCAGTTCAATCCCCGGTTCCACAAAAAAAAAAAAAAGAAAGAAGACCAAGTTTTAGTAAGAATCTACTCTCATAACATAAGGACTAACACAGATGAAGTGATCCTTCAAATAATTGCATTCTTATCTAAAGTACACTTACTTTTCTAAAATTGTACATTCTTGTCCCAGTGAACATTTTAATGGCATTTAAAATAAATGGCTAATACTTTTACAAGTGATTTTTATAGCTTATTAATATTACCTAAGTTGTAACAATAAACGTATAGCACCATTTACCCCT